TGTCAGCCATGTCATTACAGAGATTAAGAGCACCACCACAGGACTCTGAGGTATCTTGCTGAACTGTTCTGTACATCAATTACACAAAAAGACCAGAGAGCAGTTAACTACAGAAGTACAACATATGATATATACGATTTTGAGAAATGCTGAAATTAATACAATGACTAAACCTCTCTGATTTTCAGTCACTTAGACCCCAGGGAATGGAGGAAAAAAAAGCCAGTGAATTCTATGCACCTAAAATAGCAGGCCAAAACATGGCCTTCCTAGGTTCTCCCTGCAATCACCTGTGATCCATGCAGTCAGAACAGCTCTTCCAAGGGGAATTAGGATCACTGGTGGTCCAGATCAGTCCGAATACTCACAAGAAGAATTGGTAAAACCAAGGAAGCAGCTAGTTAACTCAGATGATCAAAGATAAGTGGTGAGGATAACACCTGAAAACTTTTACCCAACACCAGTTACCAACTTTTTGTTTGTTTGTTTGTTTGTTTTTACTCTTTAATGTTTATGATGTTTACTGACCTCACAGAGGTCAATGCTACAACTACTAAGTGATGTGCAAATGAACAAGTTCCCAACCCAGTGCAGAGAGAAAATATTGACCTTTTAAAGTGTACTTGTTTCCCCTCTGGTACTCACTGTGTGTATGTATCTATCATGATACAGTCCAGATGCACTTTGAAATCACCAGCTTGCTAATTCAGAGCTTTCTCAGCTTTTGTCCTCAACTGGGACAGGTAGGTCTCCGCTGGTTTTGAGGTCTCTGACACACACCCCAGGAGTCTCTGAAGGGCACATTTTTGCCCCTGTAAGCTAGGACAGAAGGCTGTGATGTGATCTCACAAAAGGAAAAGCTCATACACATTCTGATGGAAATGTACCTCAACCAGTACCTAGTAAACTAAAACAACAACCTACAGAAACAGGAAACTAAGGAAGTTCTATGCGTATACTGTCCATTTAACAGTCATTGTTAGGAGGAGACACGCGTGCATCAGCATGAAGAATTTGTACAGCTTGTTGGCAACATGTGGTCAGCACAAAAGCTTGATGGATCCTTGGCAGAAATGAAGTTGGCAGGGCTCTGATACAACGAGCAGAAATCAAACACTGAAATCTGGATATTGAAATATTTGATCAATGACCAGGAAGATCTGCTTGCCACTTAGGTAACAAATGACTCATCATATGACAATCTCAGCTATTTACTTTCTGATTTTGTGATGATTATACATGCAGCAAATTATTATTTGCTGTTCAGTTCCCTCCCTCAGAATACACACAGCAGCAAAAGAACCTAGTGTTACAGGCCAGCAGATGGCACTTAAAATGCTAAACTCAATTGCAATTTGCAGCAATTGAAGTCTGTAAATATAAATCGGTTCTCACCAGCTGAAAGATCTAGTCTCTAAGTTCTTAAAGAGACTATTCATTCAAGTTCCTTGGTTTACTTCTTTCTAATAAAAAGAGCTTTCTCTTTATGGAACTGTGGTAATCCCATCCACTCCTTTTGATTCACCTGTCTTGGTGTGACTCCACAAGTGAGCTGCAGCTCATTTTCTCCAGGGAAGAGAGGCGAGAACTTGGTGCAATTGCTATACGAAGGCATAAACTGTCTTTGGACATTGCAGATACTATAATTTGACATGGGTTCAGAAAGAATTAGAAGTTCACAGAAGAGATATCCACTGAGGCTTCCTAAATTCAGCACAGTCTAGCTGAGAACTGGGCTTGGAAACTGATCTGACCATGACGAAAGCTTGTTTGTTTGGTGGACTGTTTCTTCAGCCAGGTCAGCCCCTCGATCTGGTTCATGGTGGTGGAGCTCCACAGACATGTGCTGGAGGCACGCAGAGGCTGGTGTGCATGAGACGAGCCAACAGCTTGGAGGAAGGACGGGACAACTGCTCACACCAGTGCCGCAGCCAAAGCAAAGACAGTGGAACCACAGCTGGGGCTGCTAGTGATTAACACCACTTCTCCTGTGACTTCCAGCCCACACTTTGATCCTTTCCACAGCTCCCAAGGGGACCATGACCTTTGCTTGGAAAAACACTGTTGCGGCACAATGAAGCTGAGAGGGGAAGTCCACTGACCCTATGCAGCTGTAAATCTGAGCTAAATAGTAAGTTATCCTGGATTTATGGCTGCTTGCTGTTCCTGGTGAACAGAGGCGAATGTGACCCATTAACACCAGATGTATATTTCCTTAAATTAGCCTGCTGGAGTAAAATCCAAATGTAAGTGAAACCAAAAGCAAGGCCTAGGGCTTTAAAAGACTGTGAAAGAGAAGAAGCATATATCATACAAACTCTACTGCAATAAGCCATTTTTTCTTAGGCAGAAACAAGCAAAAAGATTAATAATTTGGCCAGCCAATGCTAGAAATCAAGATGATAATTTTTGCTAACACTTGCTGACACTACATTTACTGATTTTAATTTTTGTTTTGTTTTACTTAATGGCCACAATAATTTCTCCCAAGTGTTTTTCCTGAAGTAAAATAGGGCATAGTCCTTATGGATCACTAATAACCACTAAGTGCAGCCATTACTGTGTAAGCCACCTGAAGCTCCTTGTAGTTTTTTTTGTTTTTTTTTGCTATACAATACAAAACACAATAAAAAAGATACCATTTATCCCCCCTCCAAATTAGAACAGACTGAAAATGATACTAAAATATTTCACAGAAAATGCAGCTTTCCAGTTCAGGCTGGAAAAAACAACACTGTCTGATGTGGAGAACATGTCAAATCATAAAAAATAACGTAAAATAACATAGAACAGAATAAAATAAAATAATTTTAAATCATAGTATAAATACATCAGCAGATAATTAACATGTCTTGGCTGGAAGATGGGTTGAAGTATAATGTGTCACGTCTGGCTGGCTAGGTTAGTAGCACATCAACCTAACGAAAACTAACCAATCTTCTGAAAGCCCTCTCTGCTGATAAGTGCTCCTTAGAGCATCACTGTCTCTTCCTCCAGTGTCTCGGATGTTAGATCATATAGGATTTGGAGGGTCTGAGCCATTTACCAGTGGCTTTCTGAAGACATATTTGCCATTTCTGCTGCCCAACCAGAAAGCAATCTGATACTAGCCTGTTCAATAAATGCACATATTTGGAAAAGGAAATCTTGGCAAGTGGGAAAATATTATGATGCATTCCACTGTTTCATGTTAAGGGGACAGTACCAAATTAAATTAAGCCTTTTGGGGAAAAGTGTATTGGAGGACAAATGAAGCCCAAACCTAGAGAAATATTCTCAGGAAACTAAATATAATTACATTCCTTTCTTTGGAATATGCTTTCTACTCGTTTTGTCAGAATGTTCTGAATCTGGCATACCACAAAGCCCCAGCCTTCATAAAGACTTTCAGACAGACAACATTGCCTAAAGGACCGTACCCTGTGTGGACTGGGATGTGTTCCTTTCTATTTCAACAGAAGAAAACATGTTTGTTTTTTTTCTATTGTTCTATGTTCTAACTCATTACTGCTGCAAACGCTGAATGTTGCACCAGTGTCTATTTTGAGGTCCAGCTGGATTTACAGCTGATTGCACATCTTGGATTATTGCCTTTTTTTGCCTAGTAAAGATAAAACAATTCCCTAGGATTTGGGGGAAAACCCATGGTACAAATTAAGGGACCACATTTGGCTGACTGAATAGAGTGTCTGGGAGGGACCAGCCTGACCTGATATTCCCTTAAAGACACAAATAGCTCTACCAAGAACAGGTGAGAAAGAAAGCATACGGATGTCATACTATATTTTATACTACCCAAGAACCGTCTCATGAGATGGCCAAAGTGTCTCATTCATATGGATAATTCATTCTATATGAATCACCTGCACTAAAGATAACAAGAGGGACCAAGAACCTGTGTCATGAATTGCTCCTGAATCCTAGCCAAGAGCAAGAACCAAGAAATGGGGCAATTCAGCATTTGTGGAAGGTTCTGGACTGATAGCCCAGAGGACTGGGCTTTCGTTAACCTTTCATTAGCCACAGTGTGGATGGAGTACAGACCATGACAGTAGTCCGTTCCAGGTTCACCCATTTTTGTTGCTAGCACGCTTCACTCCTCAGAAGGAAAGACTAGCTGCAAGCTGCTAGACAAAGAACTTTCAGCTGGAGCCTGTTCACCTTTGTGAATTACTGGTTATTTTCTGCTCAGATGCAAACTCCTTCTGGAGAGAGAAGAAAGGGAATCTGTTCTTCATGTTTCAGCAACAGGAAAAGAGGATGCATCCACAGTGGGGGAACTAATTAGGAAAATCAAATGCACGAAGGGTTTCAGAAAGCTTTGTTTGTGCCATCTCTCCAATGTACAGTAGTAGTGTGTTAAAAAACAAATAAAATTACAGTGCATCTAAAAGGTTGATTTACAAGTATTTTTGTCTCTTGCAACTGTGAGTTTTCCCTGCTGGAGAGAGGAGGTATGTGATTTTCTACCACCGCAATGGGAGTTGTTGCCACAGTGTTAATTGCCATGGTTTAAACTGGGTTACAAAAATATTGGACTGGGATGGCAAAGCCAAAAGATCATTGAAGACATGTTTCTTTACCCATGAAGAGAGCTGCATGTTTGAGAGCACTCCTCACTTTACCACCTTCTCAACGTTCCAGTGTTTTATATTATTCTTATTACTGGAGTCAGGATGAGGTTAAAGTTTATTAAATTTGCTACCACTATTTTTTACGATTAGAAAAGAATTGATTAAGAAAAGCAGACTCTGCAGTGCTTCCTGGACTTTTCTACAACTCCTATAGCTAGTGTGTCCTGCTTATGACTGCTTACCATTCACTTATTTCCTATTATTTCTCCTGTGATGTTATTACCTCCCTAATTAACCCTCCACAGAAATATTGGATTTGCTTCACCATTATTCTATTGTTATTAAGAGACTTTTTGACATTTCATGTTATAAGACAGTATTATAACTTAGTTAAAATTTTACAAGTTCAGATGAAATTTTCCATACCTGGTGTTTGCTCCAGGCTGTTGTTTGTCATGCGTTTTTAAATTTCAAGTGTCATGGTTCAGTTGTTTCTGAAAAAAAAAGTTAGGGAAAAATAAATTTTGCCCACATACTAAAAAATGAGACCATTTCTTGTATGCAATTTGTTTCATGCAAGGAGGAAAAAAAAAAAAAAAGCATACATACGAAATTTGGCAGGGGAAGGGGCACCTCTGACAGGCATGTTTTTTGCTGTCTCCATTCCATGAAAGTTTTTGGGTTTTGTTTTTTTAAGCATGCATTTCACACATACTTAGTAACACTCTATTCAATTTCCTAGTAGCTATGATTTCTGGGGGTTCTGGCCCCAGGGAGCATAGTCAGGCTGTTCTCAGCTCCTAATGATTACCAACCAACTATGCTGTCCTGCCACGGCAGGCCAGGCTTACCAGGGTGAGGACGGGCAACTCAAAAGTATTCTATACTATGTATAGAAACTGAAAACACGGAGCTTCTTTCTCTCTCAGTTAAAAACATGACAACCAACAGCATGGAAGAAGAAACCCGCTAAAGCAAATCCAGAAGGGATACATGCTGGACAGTAAGGGAAAGAAAGGAATAATTGAGAGCAGTGAATCTAATGCCAGAATGAAACCAGTACTGGGTGCCTGTGAGAGACTGGACAGACATAGAGCCAACTGGCTACAGGGAGGGTCAGTGGGATCAGTTAAGAAAGAAAAGGGATGCAGCCTTCATGTTTATGTCATGGACTTACTGTTAAACTCAAAACTAGAGAATGTCACGTATGAAAATTGATGTCCAATATTTGTATCACTCACTCCAGTGCAACAACTTTGCTGATTTCAGCTGGAGTTACTCACACTCTTTGGTAGTGTTATGAAGAGTAAAATTAGATCCTTCAGTTGCACTGGAAAACTTCCTGCTTTCCAAATGCACTGGTAAGAGTGATGGCTTTGCATGTGACCACTACGCATTTGCTTGGTTCTGGAAAGCATCTAGTGTTCTACAAACCTACAACTGTTCTCAAATATCGTGCATATGCAACAAACAATGGGCTTTTTGCAAGAACAGTCTAGCAGGGCAGGAACACATGACCCTGCAGAAACTTTAAATCATGTTCCAAGTGAATCATGATCTGTTTGGTTTGCTACATTTTTCTTTACACTGAATATGCCCCTCATAGCAGATGAAGAAAAGGAGCAAACTGGTTGCTTATTTTATGGGTTGAGCAGTACAGCAATGTTTGATTTAGAAATGTCATGAAAACACTGACTTAGAAACTTTGTTTCATTGTGGATGGCATTAGTCTATTTAATCTTTGATGAGTGTTTGTATTTGCAGTTACATGAATAGTGTATGTATACCTAAGGAAAACAAACAAAACTGCCACATCTGGCCATATTCTTGAGAGTATATATAAAGCACTTGATGCAAAGCAAAGTTCACTTGGGGGTGGAGCACGAGCTGAGGGGCTCAAGGCCTCTGAGCCCTGACTCACAAGGGCCTCACTTTCTGCTCCCTAAACATGGCTGGCTATCAAGCAGGTCTTGTCCAAGACACTGGAAGTTGAATTAATTGTTGAGCTTAAACGGGCTCTATCAGCCAGTTATCTGTTAACACTGCTTTCCTCACTTGACCACCTGCAGGGGAAAATGTTGACTTCCCACAAAAGGGAGATGATAAGGCCTAGGACTTGCATCCCTCTTCAAGATTTTTAGAAGGAAAGAAAAAAAGTGTTAAGACAATACCAAAAAATCTGCAAACATATGCTTGGCCAACTTCTGATCTCAGCTGAACAGAGGAACTGCTAAAAGAAAGCGAATTGGAAGCAGGAAAGGAAGAGAACAGATGGCAGAAGCAGATGAAACAGAGAACAAATGTGGAGAGTATGATTAACTTCTTTCAGGCAGGACAGACCCACTTATCCTTTACAGAACTGCCAGTAACACAACACACACGTTTTTCCATGTATACAACGTTCTGAGTTGGTACGGAGACATTATGTGATTATGAACGGGAGGGCAAGAGGGGATGAGACAGTCTCTCTGGCCCTGGTTCAGAAAGGGATGTGCTTTGTCTTCTGTGAGCTTAAGAACATGCTGTAACATTTTCCTGAACTGGAGGAGTTTCTATCAAGAGATGCTTCATACTCCAAAAATGTTCAGAAATATTTAGTTAGTAGTCATGAGTACTTTGCACTAGCAACCATATGATATTTTGAAACTTTCTCTGAGTGTTGGTTTATCACTTTCTAATATCAGAACCAAGATTTGTTTATGCTGTTAGAATTCTGTTGAATGGATTTAAACTGGAAAAGCACAGCACAGTAAATATTAGAACTTTTCATTAAAGAAAATATCCAGAAACAACACTACTAGGACCACAAAATCAAGCACTCAGACTTGAGGGAACATCTGAATCAAGTGGTGCTTGATCAACATGAACACAGCCCTGCCACATGCAGGCATTCTGGGGCATCCTTTAATCATAGAGCATCTTTAGATTTCCATGGAAGCACAGACTCAAAAAAATCATAAAATCATTTAGGTTGGAAAAGACCTCTAAGATCATCAAGTCCAACCAGTTCCTGACAGTCAGTTGGAAGGAGACAAGGGTTCTATGTGGAAGAAAGAATCCTCCCATGGCAATTACTTTCTTTTTGCTTCTTTCAAGAACAGCAGTTTTCAATCTGTCTCTGAAAGGCTTCCGCAAAACAGTTTTCTTCTCACACTTTTGCAGGACTACAAGAATGACTGTCTTCTGAATATAAGAAAATGTACTTACATTGCATGAAAATTATAGCTTATTATTATCACTTGAACTACTGTTTCTATTGCTGCTGCTAAGGTGTACAGAAATGCATTGATCAAAAGCCACACGTGTCTGGAGGTAGACAATCCTCTTAAGGCCTCTATCCTTGAAGTCCAGTCCTTGCTGAAAGAGAGGCAGACAGCAGCCCTCTTTCCAACAGAATTCCTGTCATCTGCATAGGCCCTCCTTTTCCTTTTCCTTCTTTTCTTTCTTTCTCTTTTTTCTTTTTATTTCTTTTTCTTTTATCTTACTTTCTTTTTTCTTTTTCCTTTTTTTTCTTTTTCTTTTTCTTCTTTCTCTTTTTCTCTCTTTCCTTTTCATTTTCCTTTTCTTCTCACTTTCTCTTTCTCTTTTTCTATTTTTTCCTTTTCATTTTCCTTTCCCCTTCTCTTCTTTTTTTTTTCTTTTCCTTTTCCTTTAAGCTGCTTTTCTTTTTTCTTTTTAAGTTGTTATAGTACAACCACCATTTTTCATGTGACTTTCATGTGAAAAAGTTGCCAAATAATGTAATGTTGACAACTTAATAATTTTACATCAGCTAACCAAAGTATTTATGGGGAGGACACATGACTTGGTGCTAGTACACACAAATTCCAGACTATGGCTACAAGTCTGTATTTTCCTGCACTAGCTGCTTGTATCCAGTCATTAATGGCTTCTCTGTGAAATCATGAAAATAAATTTCTGATTGTTTTCTCTTTGTCATCTAGCTTTATCACAAAGCAATAGTAACACCAAGCTTTTGCATAGTGCTTTAGTCAGCAAGCCTCGTGGTCCTTTGGTAAGAGATCTGTGTCATTCACTCTGAGACACAGAGGTACTTGAGGAATGAGGCAGTTGAACAATGAAGACAGCAATTCAGTGTTTTGCCTGATCATAAAGTTACACGGCATGGGTTGAGTTCAGTGGCTGATCTCACAGAGGCCGGGTTAAGTTGGGAGTCATACCAACAGCAGACAAGTCTAACAAAGTAAATGTGACCAGAAGTCACTCTGCATTCAAGGGGCTCTCACAAAGAGAGCCTTTCTTCTTCAAACCTGGAACATGAAAAAGGAATCCTACCTGTAGAGGGAGGGGAGCAAAGCTTTGGACTTCTGTTGAATCAACTCCGCGTTTATTATGTTTATGTATTGTTTATTACGCCTTGACCTCAACCAGTACCACCCAATTCTTGAGCCATCTCTGCTGTTTCCATGTCGTGGGATAGATTCTAGAACTTGTTTGATTGTGACACCACAATGCGGTGGTGTCAGCTGTCACACTGAAAAGACTTTGTGGGCGTGTATTACCTAGCTGTTAGAGTACAGCTTCTCAAAACTGTCATACTTTCTCTTTCAAGACTGAAAGAAATAAAAGACCAACCTTTGGGCTGCAGAACCTGGAAGTTCAGCGTAGCATCTTATGGAGAATAAAATTTGGAAAGTTCAAGAATTCACAGTTTCAACCTAAAACATTAAGTCAATGAGCATCAGGGAGCCTGTTACTGGAGAGAATGCTGTAAAACCATTAACCTGAAATATTTTTGGAGAACTTTCTGTTCAGCACAGTGTCTGCACGAATCTATATTTTGTCTTGAAGGAATGAGTGGAATTATTTGCTTTGTCTGCCTCTCAAGCCTTTTTTGGCCCACTAGAAGAGAGTGCTTGTTGTTGTTTTTTTTTATATTCTGATCAATAAATGCACAAGCTCCCCATTTCCTTTGCTGTCCATTCATGACCCTCCTTAGCACAGACAAAGGTCATCTCTGGGCACCTGGAAATTAACTATATTAATGGGAAAATGCATTCTGCTTTCTTACATGTTTTCTGAAAACCGTTTTTAGAACACTGACATTGTTAGTCAACTAAGCACTGCATTTTATGAGGAAGACTGTTGGGATCATTTCCAGTACTGTTAAGAGCCATGTTTTCATGGATTTAGTGAGAAAGAAACATCAAAGCATTGGCTAGATTGTTTCATTTTTATTGGAGTTTTGGGGAAAAGTTAAAACCATAGTGCTAGACTTACTGCAGCGCCCAATATCCCTGGATACATCTGATGCAGAAAGGGAAGCAGTGAATGGAAGCACATCAAGCTAACACTTAGAGTGTCCAGAAACTAGAGCCACTTCAGTGCTAAGCCCAGCAAGGATTAGTGATCTTTTTCTCGACTGGGAATGGTATCCAGGAGGCTTTCTACATGTCAGGAGCCATGAGAATTCAGGAACTTTGTATCTATGCTCAATGTATCAGCACCTTCTCTTACTGACTGCCTGAGAGAG